ATAAGGGGGGATATGATCTCCATTTATAATGACATAAGGGTGAATAATGATCCTTCCGTGTAATAATACATTAGGGGGGATATGATCACCAGTGTATAATACATAAGGGGGATATGATCACCGTGTATAATACATAAGGGGGATATTGATCAACCTCCGTTGTATAATACATAAGGGGGGATAAGATCTACATGTGGTATAATACATAAGGGGGGATTATGAAATCTCCATGTATAATACATAAGGGGGATATGATCTCCATGATAATACATAAGGGGGATATGATCACCCATGTAATAATACATAAGGGGGGATATGATCTCCATGTATAATACAAAAGGGGGATAATGATCACCATGTATAATATCAATAAGATGGATATGATCTCCATGTATAATACATAAGGGGTGGATATGATCTCCATGTATATTACATAAAGGGGGGATAAGATCTTCCGTGTAATAATACAATAAGGGGGGAATATAGATCTCCGTGATATAAATACATAAGGGGGGATATGATCTAGCATGTATAATAACATAAGGGGTGGATATGATCTCCATGGTAAAATACATTAAGGGGGATATGATCTACCATGGTAATAATACATAAGGTCGTGGATATGAATCAACATGTATAATACATAAGGGGGGATATGATCTCCATGTATAATACATAAAGAGGATATGATCTCCATTGTATAATACATAAGGGGGGGAAATATCACCATGTATAATACAAAGGGGGATATGATCACCAATGTATAATTCCATAAGGGGGGATAATATCTCCATGTATAACTACATAAGGGGGATATGATCTCCATGTAAATACATAAAGGGGATATGATCTCCATGTATAATACATAAGGGGGGGTAATATGATCTCCATGAATAATACGTAATGGGGGATATGAATCTCCATTGTAATAATATATAAGGGGGGGATATGATCTCCATGTATAATACGTAAGGGGGGATATGATCTCCATGTATAATACATAAGGGGGGATATGATCTCCATGTATAATACATAAGGGTGGATCTGATCTCCGTGTATAATACATAAGGGGGGATAATGATCTCCGTGTATAATACATAAGTGGGGGATATGATCTCCGTGTATAATACATAAGGGGGGATATGATCTCCGTGAATAATACATAAGGGGGGATATGATCGCCGTGTATAATACATAAGGGGGGATATGATCTCCATGTATAATAGCACATAAGGGGGGATATGATCTGCCCATGTCTATAATACAGTAAGGGGGATATGATCACCATGTATATAATACAAAGGGGATATGATCTCCATGTAAAAATACATAAGAGGGGGATATGATCTCCCGATGTAATAATAACATAAGGGGGATATGATCTTCCATGTATAATACATAAGGGGGGATATGGATCTCCGTGTAAGCGAATACATAAGCGCCTGGGATATGAATCACCATGTCAATAGATACATAAGGTGGATATGATCTCCATGTATAATACATAAGGGGGGGATATGATCTCCATGTATAAACATAAGGGGATATGATCTCCATGTATAAATACATAAGGGGGGATATGATCCTCCGTGTATAATACATAAGGGGGGATATGATCACCATGTCTAAATACATAAGGGGGATATGATCTCCATCGTATAATACATAAGTCGGGGGATATGAATCTCCATTATAAATACATAAGGGGGATATGTTCTCCATTTTATAACTACATGGGAAAGGGGGATATGATCTCCGTGGATAAAGGCACTATAGGGGGGGATATGATACAGAACCTCCTAAATGTATAATACATAAGAGGGGGGGAAATGTTATCTACCATTTATAATACATAAGGGGGGGGGGGGATATGATCTCCGTGTATAACTACATCAGTGGGTTCAAATAGTGAAGTCATTTCATCCTGAGGTCATCACAGAGGACACAAGGGGGCGCTCTTTATGTCTGGAGGAAAAGAAATGTAATCTCCAAACACGAAAGGTTTCCCTCACAGTAAGAGCTGTGAGAATGTGGAATAGACTCCCTCAAGAGTTTGGTTGTGGCCAGCTCAGTGGATTGCTGTAGGAAAGTCCTGGATTATTTCTTAGGATACACAGTTAAATATAACTGGATATAACATTATAAGGTAAAGTTGATCCCAGGGAATATCCGATTGCCATCTCGGGGGATCAGGAAAGGAATTTTTTCCCTGCAGGAGCAAATTGGATCATGTAGCACAGTGGCTAAATGGTTAGCACTTCAAATCCCAACCACAGTACCACCTGCCTGGAGATTGTATTTTCTCCGTGTGGGTTTCCTCCGGGTACTCCAGTTTCCTCCCACACTCCAAAGACATGCTGGTAGGTTAATTGGCTCCTGTCTAAATTGTCCCTAGTATGTGTAGGTATGAATGTGAGTTAGGGACCTTAGATTGTACGCCCCTTGAGGGTTAGGGACTGATGGGAATGTACAATATATATGTAAAGCGCTGTGTAAACTGATGGCGCTATATAAGTACCTGAAATAAATAAATAATAAATGCTTTGCTGGGTTTTTTTTTTTGCCTTCTTCTGTATAAATGGTGGGTATAGGATTATAACTTTTTTAATGATTGTACTAGATGGACAATTGTCTTTTTTTCAGCCAGACTATGTTGGTATTCCTCCTATTAGAACCAAGGATGAGTTATTGATTACTTCCCCTGATCCCAGGGCATGGTCTATACCCCCACTAGCCACAGTCCCAGCCCCCTTAAAGCCTAAAACTGGCCCTTTGTTTAGAACGTTTTTGGAGACCCCTGATCCATACTTTCCCTTTTCATACCTTTTTATTCAGGAATGGCAGCCTTTATGATCCTCTGGATCAACTGTGGGTGTAGGATTATAACTTTTTTTAATGGTTGAACTAGATGGACTTTTGTCTTTTTCTTTTTTTCAGCCAGACTAACTATGTCGGAAGAAAAAATAAATTCAGACTTATCCAGACTTCTTCATATGATTACAATACAGCATACTTTATAAAACCCTTCAAATAAATCAGCAACCAGAGATGAGCTTGAGTTTCAGTCTGAATATGGAAGCTTGCTGTATCGTTGGGACAATGCACTGTGGACCGAAGATATCCCCCGCCTTGCATGGCACATATACAATGGGGTGGTGATGCACATGACACCATTGATCCAATATGGCCACTTAGCCATTGAAGGACATAGACTCAAATATGGCCACCTAGCCATTGAAGGACATAGACCCAATATGGCCACCAAGCCATTGAAGGGCACAGATCCAATATAGTCGCCTAGCCATTGAAGGACACAGATCCAATATGGCCGCCTAGCCATTGAAGGACACAGACCCAATATGGCCACCAAGCCATTGAAGGCACAGACCCAATATGGCCACCAAGCCATTGAAAGGGCACAGATCCAATATAGACGCCTAGCCATTGAAGGACACAGATCCCAATATGGACGCCTACCATTGAAGGGCACAGATCCAATATAGACGCCTAGCCATTGAAGGGCACAGATCCAATATAGACGCCTAGCCATTGAAGGACACAGATCCAACATGGATGCCTAGCCATTGAAGGACACAGACCCAATATGGCCGCCTAGCCATTGAAGGACACAGACCCAATATGGCCGCCTAGCCATTGAAGGACACAGACCCAATATGGCCGCCTAGCCTTTGAAGGACATAGACCCATATGGCCGCCTAGCCATTGAAGGACACAGACCCAATATGGCCCTAGCCATTGAAGGACACAGACCCAATATGGCCGCCTAGCCTTTGAATGACACAGACCCAATATGGCCGCCTAGCCATTGAAGGACACAGACCCAATATGGCCGCCTAGCCATTGAAGGACATAGACCCAATATGGCCACCAAGCCATTGAAGGGCACAGATCCAATATAGTCGCCTAGCCATTGAAGGACACAGATCCAATATGGCCGCCTAGCCATTGAAGGACACAGATCCAATATAGACGCCTAGCCATTGAAGGGCACAGATCCAATATAGACGCCTAGCCATTGAAGGACACAGATCCAAAATGGATGCCTAGCCATTGAAGGACACAGACCCAATATGGCGCCGCCTAGCCATTTGAAGGACACAGACCCAATATGGCCGCCTAGCCATTGAAGGACACAGACCCAATATGGCCGCCTAGCCTTTGAAGGACATAGACCCAATATGGCCGCCTAGCCATTGAAGGACACAGACCCAATATGGCCGCCTAGCCATTGAAGGACACAGACCCAATATGGCCGCCTAGCCTTTTGAAGGACACAGACCCAATATGGCCGCCTAGCCATTGAAGGACACAGACCCAATATGGCCGCCTAGCCATTGAAGGACACAGACCCAATATGGCCACCTAGCCTTTGAAGGACACAGACCCAATATGGCCACCTAGCCTTTGAAGGACACAGACCCAATATGGCCGCCTAGCCATTGAAGGACACAGACCCAATATGGCCGCCTAGCCATTGAAGGACACAGACCCAATATGGCCGCCTAGCCATTGAAGGGCATAGACCCAATAAGGCCGCCTAGCCATTGAAGGGCATAGACCCAATATGGCCGCCTAGCCATTGAAGGGCATAGACTTAATGAATGGCCACCTAGCCATTGAAGGACACAGACCCAATATGGCCACCTAGCCATTGAAGGACACAGACCCAATATGGCCACCTAGCCGTTGAAGGACACAGACCCAATATGGCCACCTAGCCATTGAAGGACACAGATCCAATATGGACGCCTAGCCGTTGAAGGACACAGACCCAATATGGCCACCTAGCCGTTGAAGGACACAGACCCAATATGGCCACCTAGCCGTTGAAGGACACAGACCCAATATGGCCACCTAGCCATTGAAGGACACAGACCCAATATGGCCACCTTTTTTTTTTTTGTGTTTTTTTTTTTTTTTTTAGCACCGATCAGTTCCGCCCCCCCCCCCCCCCCCCCTGTCATAAGTCCCGCTATAAGTCGCTGTTAACCCCTTCCTGCCCAGTGTCATTAGTAGCGTCAGTGCTTTTTTTATTAGCACTGATCACTGTATTGGTGTCACTGGGGATGTCAGCGACACCAAGTCAGTTTTCCCCCCAGTGTCAGAATGCCCGCCGCAGTCCTGCTATAAGTCGCTGATTGCCGCCATTACTAGTAAAAATTAAAAAATCCCAGTATATATACTGCCATTTGTAGACGCTATAACTTTCACGTAAACCAATTAATTTACACTTATTGGGATTTTGTTTTTCAGCAAAGACATGGAGCAGAATACATTCTGGCCGAAATTTATGATGAAATTTGATTTTTTTTTTTTTACTGAACATGTTTAATAGCAAAAAGTAAAAAATATTGTTTTTTTTTTTCTCAAAATTATTTTTGTTATAGCGCAAAAAAAAAAAAAACCGCAGAGGCGATCAAATACACCGAAAGAAAGCTCTATTTGTGGGAAAAAAGATTCTCAAAATTAAAAGCTGACTCTAAACTATAGTGTGAAATAATTTTTTGTGGGTTTTTTGATGTTCAGAAAGATAGAACTTCCGTGTAAAACATTTCCCGCACTCAGGACATGAATATGGCTTTTCCCCCGTGTGAGATCTTCGATGTATAACAAGGTCTGATTTTCGTGCATAACATTTCTCACACTCTGGGCAGGAATACGGCCTCTCCCCTGTGTGAGATCTCAGATGTATAACAAGGTCTGATTTCTGTGTATAACATTTTCCACACTCAGGGCAGGAATGTGGCTTCTCCCCCGTGTGAATTCTATGATGTTTAACAAGTTCTGGTTTCCCTGTAAAACATTTCCCGCACTCAGGACATGAATACGGCTTCTCCCCTGTGTGAGATTTTTGATGTTTGACAAGGTCTGCTTTTCGTGGATAGCATTTCCCGCACTCAGGGCAGGAAAACAGCTTTTCCTGCATGTGGCCATATCTGATGTGCAGTAAGTCTACACTTCTGAGAAAAAGATTTTCCGCACTCAGGACAGAAATACGGCTTCTCCCCCGTGTGAGCTCTTTGATGATTAACAAGGTGTGATTTCCATGGGAAACATTTCCCACACTCGGGGCAGGAATAAAGCTTCTCTCTCCCGTGTGCAATCTCTGATGTATAGCAAGATCTGATTTCTGTGAAAAACATTTCCCGCACTCAGGACAGGAATGTGGCCTCTCCCCGGTGTGAATCCTCTGATGTCTGTAAAGACTAGACTTCTCTGAAAAACATTTCCCGCACTCAGAGCAGGAATAAGGCTTTACACCTGTGTGAGACTTTTGATGTCTAAGAAGATCTGAGTTCCGTGTATAGCAGTTTCCACACTCGGAGCAAGAGTACGGCTTTTCCCCAGTGTGAGATCTCTGATGTCTAACAAGGTCTGATCTCCGTGTGAACCATTTCCCGCACACAGAACAGTAATGTAGCTCCTCACCTGTGTGAGATCTATAATGTATGACTAGATCTGATTTATGGAGAAAACATTTCCCGCACTCAGAACAGGAATGCAGTTTTTCACCCATGTGAGATCTCTGATGTACAGTAAGATTTGATTCAGAATTAAAAGTTTCCCCACATTCAGAACAGGAACATTTCTCCTCCTCCTGAATTCCGGCACCATCCCTCACAGTACGAGGTTGCTCAGAGTCAGAGGGATTTGATGGTCCATCCACACTGTGAAGTCCACCATCCATAGCTGAGCTCATTGTCGTTTCTCCTGCACAATCTCTTGTGATCTCCTCATCTTCCATTTTACAGCTTAGAGGTAAAGTGAGACGATCCTTTGAGGGTTCCTCGATGGTGTGTCCTGGAATAATATAAAAACATGATCAATAGATACACGAGGGTGAGTTCACCTAAATCAAGATTCCATCTGCATCAGGTAGGTTTTAGTGACCAGATGTTCTCTGTAGATGTCCCAACCAGCTGTGACTTCCCCTCTTCAGTAAAAGGTCCTTTGGTTCTCCCCCAGATCACATCTACAGTAAAAGGTCCTTTGGTCCTCTCCCCAGATCACTTCTACATTTCCCCAGCCTTGTCAGAAGAGCAGGAACCAATGGGAAACTGGGAGGGGCATGCTCTTCACACAACCACAAGCCTAGGTACTGGGTCATGTGATCTCTGATAAGGAAGAGGCTCAATGTTCAAACCCTTTGGCATAGACCAAAGTGACCACAAGCCTAGGCACTGGGTCATGTGATCTCTGATAATAAAGAGGTCCAAAGTTCAGACTTTGGGAGAACCTTTAGTAGAGAACAAGTCACCATGGGCCTAGGTATAAAATCAAGATTCCATCTGGATCAGGTAGGTTTTAGTGAGCAGATGTTCTCTGTAGACATCCCAACCAGCTGTGACTTCCCCTCTTCAGTAAAAGGTCCTTTGGTCCTCCCCCCAGATCACTTCTACATTTCCCGAGCCTTGTCAGAAGAGCAGGAACCAATGAGGACTGGGAGGGGCATGCTTTTCACACAACCACAAGGCCTAGGCACTGGGTCATGTGATCTCTGATAATGAAGAGGTCCAAAGTTCAGACTTGGGAGAACCTTTAGTAGAGAACAAGTCACCATGGGCCTAGGTAGTAAAAATCTGATTCCATCTGGATCAGGTAGGTTTTAGTGAGCAGATGTTCTCTGTAGACATCCCAACCAGCTGTGACTTCCCCTCTTCAGTAAAAGTTCCTTTGGTCCTCCCCCCAGATCACTTCTACATTTCCCCAGCCTTGTCAGAAGAACAGGAACCAATGGGACTGGGAGGGGCATGCACTTCACACAACCACAATCCTAGGCACTGGGTCATGTGATCTCTGATAATGAAAACGGTCAGACTGGTAGTAGAACCTTTAGCATAGAACTAGTGACCATAGACCTAGCCCTCTTTTGATAAACAGCACCAGAAGGTGCTTGAAACATTATTTTTTTCTGGAAATAAGGGTTTCAGGTTTTGATGTTACTCCTTATTGCCATGAGCTGAACATACCTGGGTTTGGGGTTCAGGGTACGTTTGTCACCTAAGTGCGGATGCCAAAGTCTGAACCCCATTGAAATAAATGGATGATGAATTGCAGAAATCAGTAACAACCATTATCCACACTAAGAGGCAAGGAATTCATAATCAAAAAGGGGGTTTTTAGGCACTGCCCTGTGGAACACAAAAAAAAATCCCCTCATCTATACCAGACCTTTAACTTGGATTAGGTATTGTATAGATGTTAATGGGTGACCCAATGCAAAAAAAAATAAAAAATCTTTAGGTTTCCTCTAAAAATACATAACCGACTATATCCTTGATGAGGTCTGGTATGGATATCAAGAGGGACCTCCCAGAAAAAAAAAAATGGCATGAGATATGAAACCCTTATCTGAACATGCAGGGAGGGAGGGGGGGGTGCGTGGGGGTAAGCATATGCCCCCGCTCCCCAAACATATCAGGCCACATGTCCTCAACATGAAGGATACCTTGCTAGGGGGAGACTCCACTGGCAGAGAACATTGTTCAAATGTTGATGAGAGCAAAGGCTTCTTCCCCCACAACCCTGGCACAGTGGTTGTGGGGGGTCTGCGGGGCAAGATCACTGTAATCTGGAAAGCCCCTTTAGAATAAAGGGTCCCACTGACATCCCCTTCCTTCTGGGCTAGCCAAGCTGCATTGCTCAGATGATAGTCTGGTATGGATTTTGGTAGGGGAAGGGGCCACATTTTTTTTGTTGTTCTTTCGATTCGGTTCACTCTTAAGTGCCCGTTCATACCGGTGCGATTTGGGGATTGAAACGGCACCTGAAATTGCATCTAGTGAATGTCGGCATCTTAACCTGTGTGATTGGCTGCAGCGCAATTTGCGTGACCTTTTCTTAGTTTCTATTATAAAATTTTGTAAACAGGTAATTTTTTCTCCATCGCTGATGTGCTTTGATGAGGCTGCACTGATAGGCAGCACTGATGGGCACTGATAGGAAGTACTAATGGGCACTGATAGGCAGCACTAATGGGCACTGATAGGCAGCACTAATGGGCACTGATAGGCAGCACTAATGGGCACTGATAGGCAGCACTAATGGGCACGGATAGGCAGCACTAATGGGCACCGATAGGCAGCACTAATGGGCACGGATAGGCAGCACTAATGGGCACTGATAGGCAGCACTAATGGGCACCGATAGGCAGCACTAATGGGCACCGATAGCAGCACTAATGGCACCGATAGGCAGCACTAATGGGCACCGATAGGCAGCACTAATGGGCACCGATAGGCAGCACTAATGGGCACCGATAGGCAGCACTAATGGGCACCGATAGCAGCACTAATGGGCACCGATAGGCAGCACTAATGGGCATGGATAGGCAGCACTAATGGGCACCGACAGGCAGCACTAATGGGCACCGACAGGCAGCACTGATGATGCTGCACTGATATGCAGCAAAGATGGGCAATGATAGGAGCCCCAATGATCAGTGCCGATCTGCTCTCTGACAATTACTGGTTATCGGCAGTACTTCCCTCATGCAGTGGCAGCGTGAGGAAAGTGCAGCCGACCGGCAACTGTATTTGCTCCGTGATCGCTGTGTCATTGGACACAGCTGATCACGTGGTAAAAGGCCGCTGTGATTAGCCTTTTACCACATCATGTGATCCCCCTTAAAATTCAGACCAGACCTGAAGGATCTCGCATGAAATTTGGGGAGGACCCCACACGTTTTTATGTGTCAGCCACTATCTCAGCCATGACTGGTTGTTAGGACAAGGTCAAAGTATGCAAAATTTGAACCACACCTAAAGCCCATCCCTACTTCCTTACTTTTTATCCCAACAAGACTGCTGATAGAGTTGAACGTTAAAATTGAGCCATAAGTCAACTCAAAGAAGAGGGACAAACCTAAGAATCTACATAAATCATTGTCTGAGTACATAAATTGTGTCTACAACACAGAGAAGGGGGTTTATCTGAGAGGAGAGAAGAAATAACTCGTAGGTTGGGTATCCGTGACTATTAGCAACCTATTATTGGCTGACATCACTCATCTCCCTCCCTACTCTGGACCAATCAGTGAGCAGTAACAGAGCAGAGATAACAGAAGAATATATTGTGGCTCACCTGTGCTGATCTCTGTAGGAGTGTCCTCCTCTTTGAATGTCCTCATCATTCCAGCCTCCTCTCCGTATATATTGCTGATCATCCCTCACATACGTCTCTTCTACTTCACCCTCAACTTTCATCTTCATCAGATCTTCACCCTAAACCAACAGAATGGCAGAAATAACATCTGTAATATAGAAGGATTTATGATGTGAGATCACATAGAAAATATCATCTTGTAGAGTCCACACAATCGTCTCCACATGTCCAGAGTGTTCCATCACTTTATGTTCCAGACCCTCAACTCCACCGACCTGATGATGGTGAGGGATGGTGTGACCTTCCTGTGTGGAATCCCAGGAATACAGAGGATGGGGACATCTCTCTGGTGGGTTCCCATGACTGGATCCATCTACCTGATGATGGTGAGGGATGGTGTGACCTTCCTGTGTGGAATCCCGGGAATACAGAGGACGGGGGACATCTCTCTGGTGGGTTCCCATGACTGGATCCATCTGTAGGAAACACACACACTGACTGAATCCATTGTTTCTATGTGTTTATCAGATGATGGGGGATCTAGGTGGATCCTCCGTACTGCTCTCTCCTTTACAATAAAGTCTCCTCTTACCCGGTGATGTGAGGGGCGGCTGATTGTCCATCATGACGTCCTTGTAGAGATCCTTGTGTCCTTCTAAATACTCCCACTCCTCCATGGAGAAATAGACAGTGACACCCTGACACCTTATAGGAACCTGACACACACAATGATACAGTCACCATCCAGACACATCCCTTGTCTGTTACTGGAGAATGTCCCAGAATTCCCGGCACCGCTCACCTCTCCTGTCAGCAGCTCCATCATCTTCTTGGTGACTTCTAGAATCTTCTGCATGTTGTGTCTCTCAGGTTTTAGGGAGTCACATGGAGGCACTGTGATGGTCATATGATCACCTGACTTCAGAGGAGGAAATCTCTGTATTCAAACAAAAATGGTAATATGTCACATTCCCAGAATCCTCCTCACCTCTCCGGTCAGGTCTGTTTTATTAATAGAAATGAGTGATGTCATGTGACCTCCCAGAATCCTCCTCACCTCTCCGGTCAGGTCTGTGTTTTATTAATAGAGATAAGAGTGATGTCATGTGACCTCCCAGAATCCTCCTCACCTCTCCGGTCAGGTCTGTTTTATTAATAGAGATAAGAGTGATGTCATGTGACCTCCCAGAATCCTCCTCACCTCTCCAATCAGGTCTGTGTTTTTTAATAGAGATAAGAGTGATGTCATGTGACCTCCCAGAATCCTCCTCACCTCTCCAATCAGGTCTGTGTTTTATTAAATAGAGATAAGAGTGATGTCATGTGACCTCCCAGAATCCTCCTCACCTCTCCGGTCAGCAGGTAGATGATCTCCAGGGTGAGGTTTAGTATCTCTCCCATGTGACTCCAATCCTCCTCCATCCTCATTGAATGGTCATGTGATCTATGTGGGTTTCTCTGTAGACCGATAGAGAGAATTATCTGGAAGGTATTGATTGTACAATATTAGAACTCCTGCTCTCATTTCTCCTTCAGCAGGTGATCACTGCTGAGGTTCTTAACCACTCAGTCAATGTGACCGGGCACTTTCACCCCCTTCCTGCCCATTGATATGGTCAGCTTTCAGTGTTTCTACTGTAGATGGAATGACAATTACTCTGGAAGTATTGCAACATTGTACTCAAATGAGGATGGGGATGTAAGGGGTTAATTTTTGCTCTCAATTTCTCCTTCATGGTGATCACTGGTGGTCTTAACTTCACTACCTGGGTTTGTAATTTTTTTGCTCACATAAATGAATAAATACAGAAAATGGGGGGAAACTCACTTTTTCTTAGTTTTCTGCTATAAATATTAGCAAATAAATAATGTTTCTTCATGAACTTAGGCCAACATGTATTCTGCTACATTTCATTGGTAAAAATAACCCAACTCATTGGATATTGTTTAGTCTGTAAGAAAGGTACAGAGTTTACACACTATGGTATATATATTTGGAAATCGATCAATCCTGATATACTGACGGCCGATCTCATTTCTTGAGGCCCTAAAATGTGAGGATAGTACAAATAACCCCCCAAATGAACCCTTTTTTGGCAACGTAGACAGTATATAGTATAAGAGGTATTTACTATGAGCCAAGATGGGTTCTTTGAAGCTGTAATTTTTTTGTCACAATTTTTTGGTAAACGGGGAAACTAAATACATTTTTTTTTCATAAAGTTGTCATTTTACAAGTTATTTCTTGCACACAGTATAGGCATACTTAAAATTACACCCCAAAACACATTCTGCTATTCCTCCAGAGTATGGGGATACCACATGCAAGACTTTTTCACAGCCTGTATGCATAGAAGGGCCCAAAATCCAAGGAGCACCTTTGGGCTTTCAAAAAGTATAAATTACCGCCCGTAAAAAAATTATGGCCACGGGCCGACTTCAGAATTGCACCTTTTATGAATTAGAAAGGTCTTAGAGGGCTGGAAGGGAAGCCAAGAGCGGGAGCACCACCCGGCCTGATCCTCTGCACTTCAAATTTCCTGCCTTCTTTCCCTCTCTGCTCTACAGTCCACTTTCATTGCCTCCCCCCACCCCCTTCCTCTCCTGAACCTGGTCAAGCTGCATCTTCTTTCCCTAATTAGGTCTCGCTGCCTCTTCTTCGCCCCGCCTGGTGTGTGTCATTCACTGGAGGACAGGACATGGATGATGAGCCACCCGAAGGACCATGCCTGACTGATCTGCATATGAGCCAGCAGAAGGAGGTCAGTGACAGGCAAATCCTGTCTCTTGTGGGCACAGAAAGTCTGCAGGGGGGGGGGGGGGGGGGGGGTCACTGATAAAAGGGGGAATGAATACACCAAGGTAAGGGAGGACACTGATATAAAGGTTCCTACTTATGTCAGTAACTCTCCCTTACCTTAGTGTATTCACACTGCAGAAGGTGGTCTGTTCCAGGCATTCCCCCTTACATCATAGTCTGCAGGATTCCCTTACATACATGGGGGAACTCTGGAGTGTTGACCCTGATGTAAAAGGGAACTCTGAAATAAAGGGCAATGCTGTAGACCCTGGTGTAAGTGGGAACTCTGATGTTAAGGGGAATGCTGTAGATTCTGATGTAAGGGGGGGCCCTGGTATCCAGAGATCACCTTACATTAGAGTTCCCCTTTATTCCAATATAAACCAGCGCAAAACACAATTAATAAATAATAAATAAATATCAAATAATTTTCAAAGTCCAGTGATGAAAAAATAAGTGACCACAATCTCGTGACACAAAAATCTAAAAAAAATATATAAAAGTCCAGTGATCTAAAAAAACTTTCTTAAAAAATAAACTTCAGTGCTTCAAATAATTCTTCCACCATCCACCAGTGCCAAAAACCAACATAAACCGCACTCACCAGATATTGGTGAGTAAAACACCTTTCAGGATTATTTAGGGCTCCTGGACCCCCTTTGAGGACTCCTCTATTTAGGGGCTCCTGGACCCCCACCTCAGACCTATGGGTGATTCTTCATCCGTCTCCTCGCCACACCACCAAGATCCAAAAGGGAGAAAGAAACTAATAGTGTGATACTGTTATGCCCCTTTTATAATTAATTCATGCCAAACCACTCACATTTCATAGGAGAAAAACCAGCATTTATTTAAGGACATCAAACGAATTTTCGGGTAACAAATACGAATTTCCACAGCTCTTAGGAACTCACAGCCTCGTATACAGCAGGATGACAGCCTTCATAACGAACGAACTTTCTTATGAACTTTCTTACGAACTTTCTTTGCTAGTCAAAAAAATGTCCGCCTGGAACACATCCCTCGGCACTGGTGGATGGTGGAAGAATTATTTGAAGCACTGAAGTTTATTTTTTAAGAAAGTTTTTTTAGATCACTGGACTTTTATATATTTTTTTAGATTTTTGTGTCACGAGATTGTGGTCACTTATTTTTATCACTGGACTTTGAAAATTATTTGATATTTATTTATTATTTATTAATTGTGTTTTGCGCTGGTTTATATTGGAATATTTGTTTTGGTTTATATACCTATGCACAGCAGCATTTCACTTATAACTGTTTGTCAATAGATTGGCCCTGGGCGCTGTGGTTTTTTTCTAATTTAAAATTTAGATTTCCCCTTTACACCAGAGTCCACAGCATTCCCCCTTACATCATGTTACATCAAAGTCCGCAGAGTTCTCCCTTGCATTGTAAAGGGAACCCTGCAGACTCTGATGTAAGTGGGAACTCTGATGTTAAGGGGAACGCTGTAGATTCTAATGTAAGGGGGGGGGCCTGGTATCCAGAGATCACCTTACATCAGAGTTCCCCTTTACACCAGAGTCCGCAGCATTCCCCCTTACATCCTGTTACATCAAAGTCCGCAGAGTTCTCCCTTGCACTGTAAAAAGGGAACCCTGCAGACTCTGATGTAAGGGGGAACTCTGCGCTCAGTTATGCAAGATAGAAGGGTAGAGCTTCCAGAAACATATACTCAATACAATAACTGTAACCTCAAACACTCATGAGAAAGAACATAAAATAATAATCCTTGTGTGGTAAATAGCAAGGCACTCAAAGTTGTAATGGGGTGTCAACAGAGGAAACTAGTCCTGATCTCTGAAAGAACCCCAGACCCTTGCAGAAAATGGGAAGCACCACATCTCTTCAGAGCCATGCACTAGGGCTTAGAGAAGTGACACCAGGGAGCAAACCAGGCAAAGCCCCCTAGTGGAAAGAGAGGTGGGGCAAATGGGGTCAAGCTATGCCAGTTATTTAACCCATCCCAGACTGCCAAAAGTAGGGTTAGACAGCATGCATGGGGGAACTCTGTGGAGTGTGGATCCTGATGTAAAGGGGAACTATGATATAAAGGGCAATGCTGTAGACCCTGGTGTAAGTGGGAACTCTGATGTAAAGGGGAACACTGATGTAAGGGAGCGGCCTTGATAACCAGAGATCACCTTACATCAGAGTCCGCAGCATTTTCCCTTACATCATGTTACATCAGAGTTCCCCTTTACATCAGGGTACGCAGAGTTCTCCCTTGCACTGTAAAAGGGAACCCTGCTGACTCTGATGTAAGGGGGAAACGGTGTCAAGCTATGCCATTTCTTTAACCCAACCCAGACTGCCAAAGTAGGTTGTATACAGAAGGGGCTGCCAGCCCTCTGTGTGAACCGTCAAGCCAGGGTGCATGCGCCAGATTGCAGCCCGCCAATGATTTCTCTGGGTAAACCTATCATTTATCATGGACATGGAAGGTTCCAATTGACAATACACATCAGCACGGGAGCCAGGGGGTACAAAGAGAGATCTGGAAAACCTAGACCACCTTTAGCTTCAGTGCGACACAAAAGGTTATAAAGATGGCTTGCTAATCCATACAAACCAGGGGCGGACTGACAACTCATG